AGAGAGAGAGAGAGAGAGAGAGAGAGAGAGAGAGAGAGAAGACTGGCTTCAAACTCAGTTCCTCTGAAAAAAGCTATTTAGTTTCTCCTACAGACACCTTGCCAATAACCTCACAGGTCGCATAGGAGAGCAGATCTAAGTCCTGAGCCTGATCTGCAGTCACAGGAGTCACAGCTGTACATCAAGAAAACATTTGTCAAAGGAAAGCACAGGTCGTTACTTTCAGTGCAAAATGGTTCTTTGTTTTTATGGATTCACTTCTTGCCCCATGTCCTGTTCCCGAGGACCGACTTCCTGCAGCAATATAATGGACTCTTCTATGAGGAGACAACATCTGGGCATTATTCAATAGCCTGTGGTGGGTAATGTGTTTTGTCAAGGGCTAAATAGCAAATGGATTTAATTTCTGCTTAAAAACGATCATAGTCACTCTCAAATGGATGGATAAATAGCTTCTGTATTAGAGAAGGGATGGAGCGTGGTACCAATTGTATATTTTCTTTTCATTATTTATTCCCTGTAAGCCTGTCAGATGATAAATTGTAAATAACAGTGATTAAAGAGTCATGCTTACAGATGCAGTCTTCTTTCTGTCTCAGCGGGAACAGTTCTGGTCTCTGTTATCGTTCCTCCTTACACCATTGGTGGAGCACTGATGAGATATACAGAAAGAGCTACAGGTGTGTGCAGTGTGGACAAGTTTATTAGGGCTATCTGACAGAGGGTCACATGAAAAGGCTTCCGTTAGATGTCAGCTGACAGCTAACTAACATGGCGACGTCTCTGACACAGTAGAAGCTGTGTTTTATATCTTCACACTATGGGACCACATCTGAGAACCTGAGACTGGAGTTTCCAGGGTTATTTTGAGAGCCCTCATTGTCATTACTTTGGAGTTGGTTTGTTTTTATTGTTTTCTTAAGGAACAGAAATGCTTGCTACATCCAAACCATGGCTTGTCTCAGGCAGCTGTTCACACAAGCATCAGTTAACAAAAACTGTATACAACTGGGATCCAGATGCAAACTTCACAATAGAGATTAGGGAGGATCGATTCCCAAACACATTTTACTTTAACATGCAGAATAGATTTCTGAGTTACACGAGCACACTTCTTCCAGCAGGTGTCATAGTAGACAGGAGAATGGGTATGAATTCTCCAAGAATAAACAGAGTATTCATGAGTGCACTTTCTGTCTCTGTGATTTCTGGGATTTCAGAGCCCAAGACCAGGAACTTATATACCTGAGTGGTGGAACTGCGATGGAAGAAAAGGAGACAAGGGGACTGGAGATGTTCAAAGATATAATTCTGCTGTCAACACATACCGCTAAGGCTTAATGGCTGAGATGAGTTGATGGCTTGCATCTATGCACACTCATACACAAACACAGACAAGTAATTCTTATGTCTCAATTATAGGTCATAATTGAGGACGGAAACTATGTCTATTCAGTTTTTCATTAGCAACTTGCATGGGTTTGCCTAAGTTGCAGAGAACAAGAAGACCATTTTCTGTTTATAGTTTTATATTTATTTTCTATTTGAAAAAGAAGTGAGCACACATCTGTAAATCCTTCTATAGTCCTTGGATCCTGCACAGGGTAATACATGACTGTTTGCCATCAATGAATTGGGTAAAATTCTGAATTAGTTTTGAATCAGACTGAATGCACGTTTTTTAAGGGAAGAGGGTTAAAAACTATGAGCAAGAGAAACTGCACAGCCCTAACTGGCAGTTATTCGTGAGTCCTGTTTGCAAACTGGAGGCCGTGAATTCTGGGAACATTTCTAAGAACGCAGAATAGTGATTTGTTATTGGAGCAAAAGATACATCTCCCATCTTTACCTACTGTACCATAAAAGGAAAAGACCTCAGTGTCTGAATTTAGTGTAGGGGTGGGTTTATTATATGGAGTACAAATAGTGAGAGTTGACTACTGCTCAACTCATACCAAGGCTTCCAGTGATAGGTAGACTCACTGTGTACCATACTGTTCTGGTACCCAACAGAAGAAGCCCTCGAACAACACAAACCCAAGATGAGTAGTTTGGAGTGAGGTAAAAGCAACAACAACAACAACAACAACAACAACACTCACCTATGAATTAAAATATATTTCAACTGTTCTGGGTTGTGACTTTCTATGACAAATTCCTTTTAAAATGAAATATTTTAGATTAGTTCAGTCCATCCCTTGACAGTCACAGAGCCTTGGAAGCAACAATTTCAGTAGAACAAAAGGAGGAAGACGCCCGTATTTCCTCACTGGGTAGGATAAACGTGATAGAGGAGGAGAGACTTCTCTCAAGTCTTCTGGGTCTCATCTAACTCAGCGCTGGTCCTACATCTGTTCTCATCTGACACTGTAGTGAAGCTGAACCCCTCGGCTGACACAGCTAGCCTCCTGCTGAACCCCTCCGCTGACACGGCTAGCCACCTGATGTTGTTTTTCATGCACAGAGTTCAAGATAAAAATTGCACGAGAGAGCTTTTTGTAATCTCAAAATAAAACTCATGTTAATTACATTTACAGTTTTGCGGTGGTGGGCCACTTTCAGGATACACCTTCCCTCCACCCCTGCCCCCAGACTCTAAGCTCTCCAATTTCTATTTAAAAAGTGAGCTTTCTTTGGGAGAGCCACATAGTTTTCTCTGCTCTTTTTACATGCCACTTCTGAACTCCAGGGTTTAAAAAGGATAATTTGGGTATGGAGGTTTTTTTACTCCAAGGCTTTAGAAAATTTGTTAAGTTACCACCTTTGAAGAACAGCAGAAGTGATCAATCAATTTTCTAAAGTCTTACCAGTTTCACTCAATGTTAAGTATCTATAAGTAGCAAAAGCTGGAATAACGATTTTAACAGCTGCGCGGGGTACTTTTATGAGAATTGAATTTAATAAAATTGGGAGTTATAATGTATGCATCTGCCCTTCTATCCCTCATTACCTAGCCCCTCCAAAGTACTCATCTCGGAAGGCTTGGCGACCTCTGCCGCCCAAAACAACCCATTACAGCGGCCTGGCAGGCATTGAAGGAGATGACAGTACCCATTCCTTTAGAGTTCCGAGATTCTCTGGTTTTCATTCCACATTCAGAGCTTGAAATTGCTAATTTATCGGTGGTTCCACATAAATAAAACTCAATCAAATCCACGTTCTCTTTCTCAAAGACGATGCTTTAAAAAAGGATCAGAAGGTGCATTTACACGTCCTAAGAAGCAACCTTGGACTTCGGTTCCTGCAGCCCAGCCTTTCCCAGCATCCCTCTTGAACTCTCCAGGTTTGCCCGCCCGCTCGCCCCACTTAGAATAAAGACCCCGCCCTACAGTTACACCCACTGCTAGCCCGCTTCTGCCGACTGGGGGCGGAGACTGCCTGGATTGGCTAGGACCCCTGTGTCATGTGGCTCCGCCCCTCGGCCTATCTCACCTCACGCGGTCTAGGCGTGGAGAGAAGAAGCCGTGTTGCGATTGGCGGGCCTAGCGCGGGGCTAGATGACGCAAGAGAGGTGGGGCCTAGCCAAGCCTTGATTGGTCGGGGTGCGCGTGGCCACAGATCGTGGTTCAGGTTGAGAACTACTGAGAACCCGGGTGCAGATCAACTCTGCTGCAAGGAGTCCAAGATGCAGAAAGTGGTTTTGATCACCGGGGCGAGCAGGTGAGGTCTCCTCTGGAACCCCGGAGGCTATGTTCCCGGGTGCGTGGAAGCGGAGGTCGGTGATTCACTTCGGTGGGGTCCGCCGATCCCCACCGTCCCCATCCCGCCCTTCTCTGGCCTTCTAAGAGGTGTGGTCATGCCTGCCTCACTGGGTGCTCGGTGACTGGCGCTTTGAATTAAACATGACAGTGGAAAGGAAAACTAGACCGCCAGTGACTGATCAGGCTGGCAGTGATGCTGTGCCTGTACTCTCAAGGGACCAGTCTCTGAGAGTAGTTAATTGTAGGCGTCCACAATTCACTTTAACCCTCAACACGCAGTGTCTTACACTCGCGTGTTTAAATGTCAGCACAATGGGGAAATTTCATTCCTGCAGCATATTTCACATACTCTCCCCAGGAACGTACAGAAGGACCAGTTTTTAGCGCCTAATCCCAATGCAGTCGCCAGTTCAGTTTTTCCAGGCTTGCCCGTTTGACCCTTGACCTACTTTAATGCCTTATCATTTATTCACGAAAAATGTGTGGAGGATGGAACCAACCAACCCCCTCCCCCCAAACTGGTTATATTGATGTTTTTGAGGAATTAATACAGGATTTTTAAATGCCACTTAAGCGTGTTTCAGTGACCTAATCACATCTATATTAAGTAAACCAGTTGAGGGGCCTGTCTTGGGCTTTTTGTTAGTGTTCACTCTCCTTTAGGTTAACTGGTTTTTGGTGCTTCTTAACGTGGAACATGCCTGTAGAAGTCAGGCCCGATATTGTGAGATTTTTGTGGTGTGTGCAGCTTATACTAAAGGTCTGATATTTGAAGTAAGGATTAATAGGCCCATCTATGTTTGATATTTTGCCGTCAGGGCCACCAGATTATGTGGGTTCCAGACTCACTTTGGGGTTCCCTTTGCTGGCAGTCTACCTGAGAGCTTATTGTTACACTGGCTGGCACTGCTGCCAGCAATGGGCCCCAACTGCTGGCCTCTTTCATATTATTCCTTCTGACCCAGTGTAGCTAAAGCCTCTGAGCTCCGTTCTTCTCTGCTTCTCCGTCTTCGGCTCCATCCGATTGCTATTCCTACTTTCTGTCTACTTGCATTGAGGGCTTTTTCTTACTGTTGGTTCTTCTGCTGTGATTTGGTAGTTGACAAGGATTTAAGCTCCTGCAGTGCCACTATGCATTCTGTAAACAAAACAACAAAAAGCCAAAACCAAAACCTCACTGGTTCACTTACTGGGATTTACAGTCCTCCAACAACAGTTAGCAACAATACCGGAAGGTGGTGAGAACCCTTGCCTTTGAGGGAACTAGGCACCACAAGAAAATGGGGATACAATGAACAAGTAATAAGACACTCTTTACATTATTTGCTGGGGATATATTAAATCATACCCTAACAAGGACCCCAAACCTCACTCACTGTGTCGTTGAACTATATTAGAGGGGAACACTGGATGTTGCTTATCAACATGGCTTATCAAGGGGATTCCTTCAGATAATGTTTAGATATTTTCTATCTGGACTTCTCATTGACACAGTCCAGTTTCTGAACCAGAGAGAACTGCCTTTGTTAAACACCATTTCAATGAACTTCCGCTTGTGCCTGAATTGTCCTTTCAGTGGCATTGGGCTAGCCCTATGTGGTCGGCTGCTGGCGGAAGACGATGACCTTCACCTGTGTTTGGCGTGTAGGAACCTGAACAAGGCAAGAGCCGTTCGAGATACCCTGCTGGCCTCTCACCCCTCCGCCAAAGTCAGCATCGTGCAGATGGATGTCAGCAGCCTGCAGTCGGTGGTCCGGGGTGCAGAGGAAGTCAAGCAAAGGTGATAGATCACTGTCTGTCAGAAAATTAATCAAATGAGAAAGGGCAGGAAAATATGGAAAGGTAATGGGCATAGTGTAAAACAAGTTTGCTTTTCTATGCGGAAGCATAGCATAGCACTTAATCAAACTGGACGGGACAGGGAAATATGGAAAGGTGATGGGTATAGTATATTTAAAATGATTGTGCTGAGGGAGTCTGTACGTAATGACGTTGGAGCCCTCAGAACTTGGAAGTACCCTTTCCAGTTGGCAAATGCACTGTTGTGTCTGACGCTAGATCGGTATTCTGCTGTATTCTCCGTCCCCTTAGAACACGTACAAAATAGTGACACTATTTTATCCAGAGAGAAACTACAGCCATCCTTTCACTTTTGAATGTGTTAACTGTGCTGCTTGATCGAAGCCAGAGCTCGCTTTCCACACTTTACTAAGTAAGCATTGCTTCTTCATGCCTAGCAAAAGAAGCGGCTGTTACCAAAGTTTGTAACGTAGATAACGGATAATTGATGTGCGGTCCCACTAGCTTCACTCGCATGACAAATGGTGGCCAAAGCAGCGACAGTTTCATTAAAGTAGCCATTTTAATAATTTGAACCATGTGGTTGTTGTATGATCAAGAAACAGTGATCCATAATCCGTATTGTCAGACAAGTATGTATTTCAAGGTCTGGTTTTATTAGCTGTGGCTCTGTCCTGGGTTACATAGAAGACACGAGGAGCCTAGGATTCTGGGAGACACTCTGAGCATGTTGCCTGAATGTCAAGGGAGCAGGTACCACCTGCCTTGATCCCACTTCCGAAGGAGTGTACATTCATTAAGGCTTATGAAGTTTCGAAAGTGGAAAAAGCTCACTCAAGGTTGCCTTTCTTGGCTCCTCCATGGCATGTATTCTGGAGCAAGCCCACCAAGAGTACCTGACGCCCCTAGAACATTTACAGTTTTAGGGTATGAGTGTGACCTTTAATCAGTTTATGATACATAGTTCCCAGCCTTGAGCTCTGAGTGGTTTCCAGTTGGGTCTGTTGTTTTGGTAGATACCTGGCCATCCAGATTACAGCACTGATAGGTCAGGTTAGACCTGCGGGACATTATGTGACTTTAACTTGCTGACTTTGGAGGATGTGAACTGGTAAAAAAGATCAGGAGGAAGATGGGTTTAATTGAGGGTACTCCAGGGCTTGATTGGTGGGCTGCAGTTGGATTTCCATCTAGAGATTTAGCTTCAAAGCCCATTGAAACCACCCTGAGCAAAGGATACTCTAGTATCCACTGTGGCTAGAGACACTGCTGAGAAAGAGCCATTGTAACGCAGATGCTACATTGTGGCCATCTTCATTGGTTCAGAAAGGGTTCTTCTGTCCTTGGGTCTTCTATCTTCTAGAGGTGGAGTGCAGTGTTACCTCATCCTTTCTAACCATGCCATTTTTGGTATTTTACGTGCAGGTTTCAAAGATTAGACTACTTATTTCTGAACGCTGGAATCATGCCTAATCCCCAGCTAAACCTCAAGGCATTTTTCTGTGGCATCTTTTCAAGGTAATTTTCACAGTCTAGATCCGTGGTTCTAAACCTGTGGGTGGAGACTCCTTGTGGGGAGGGGTGCAGGACCCTTTCGGAAGGGGTCATGTATCAGATATCCTGCCTACAAGATACTTACATCACGATTCATAACAGTAGCAAAGTTACAGTTATGATGTAGCTATGAAGTAATGTTGTGGTTGGGGGAACTGTATTGAAGCATGAGGAACTGTATTGAAGGGTCACAGCATTGTGAAGGTTGACCACCACTGTTGTAGGTGAACTGAGTGCAAGGAAGGTGTTCATTTTGTTGCCATGGTTTTGCCTTTGGTATGTATGTTGAGCTGAGGAATGCTGAGAAGGATGAAGATAAACAGAAAGGAGTTGGCACTACAGTGGGCAAGTCAGGTACTCAACTTTGTGGGGAGCACTGCCTGTGGCCATGGTTTCCATAAGAGTCTGAGTTTCTAGAACATTCCATATCATCAGATGGTTTATGTTGATATGGCTGAATGTGCTGGTCTCGGAACCTTTCTAGATCAGGTGGCTTCTTAGCCTGTAGCATCTGGGAGGCTGCATTGCAAGATGTGTGTCATGAACTCTGACTAGTGAGTTGAGGGAATACAGGGAACTGATGTGTGCCTGAGAAATTCTCAATACACACGAGTATAGTGGCTTTCAAAGCTATCTAACCACAAACCAGACTCAGAAATATGCATGTTTGCAATCCAGTGCCTTAATTCATAGAGCTTTTTGAGGCAGGCAGCATGTTCATTTTCTCTTTACTTTTCTTCCATGAAAACAAAACACCCGTCCACCCCACTATTAATATTAAACTGATCTCACAGCAAGACACTCTGTTAATGTGCTTGATGCTCTTAGAATTCCTAGTGAAAAAGACAATCTGGTTAACTTTTTTCCAGTAGTTAAACACACTTAATATGGATGAAGACTTTTTTTCTAATCAGCATAACTATTATTGCCTAAGAATAGTTTACCTCTAATCTGACTGGGTAGTGGGGGCAGGAAAGCATGTTAAGTACATCTGTGAATTTTGGGGAAAGAAGTATTTAATATCCCATTTAATACAAATGTCCAAGAAATTGGTATTTTCTCATTATAGAATCAAAGTGTATGTGTGTGTGTGTGTGTGTGTGTGTGTGTGTGTGTGTGTAACACCTTTGTATTTTCAATTCAAGGAGCTTTAAAAAGTCACACTACTGTCTTTTGTTGTTTCAGAAATGTGATTCATATGTTCTCCACAGCGGAAGGACTTTTGACCCAGGATGACAAGGTCACTGCTGACGGGTTCCAGGAAGTGTTTGAAACCAATCTCTTGGGCCACTTTATCCTGGTAAAAAGTCTGGGGTCATATATTTTTCACTGTGATCCTGAGGGAGTACATGGAGATATTACTGTTCTGTGAAGCTTGTTAGTTTATGGTTAGCATTAAATCTTTGAGTATTTACATCTGATCACTGACCTCTGAAAATGCTGCCTACATAGAGAATGGAGGAGGTAGATTATCAGACATACAGTCTCATTTTAAAACAACGTGCATAACAGCAGAAAAGGCACATTAGTTCTGTCCTAAGTAGGTCTACAAATTGGGCTTGGTATCACATAGCCTGGGATAGTAAGGGTGTTGAAATTAAACACTGATACATAGTTGACTTTTCATTATCATGCTTCCTTCTCAAGCTTCCATATTTGGATGTACATTTCTAGGTATATATAAAAGAGTCATCATGAGATGTGTGGCTTATCTAGTGTGTTCTGTGGTGTTGCCTCTGGCTCACTCTCATGGGGTGGCTTTAATATTGAGAGAAAGTGGCCAGCCATGATGGCATTATAGCTCATTGGTGCTGAGAGAAATTTGATGCTCAGTTTGCTTGCATAAAACCTGTATCTGTTATTTCTAATCTTTTTTCTTTGATCCCAAGTCCCTTAGTTAGACCTTGATAAGGTCTAGCATGTGTTTATCAGAAATTAGAATGTGGAATGCTAGTGTGGACCAATCATTAAAAGAAGAGAGTGAGATAAATATCTGGTGCCTGTGTGATGGCCTCAGGTATTTTCTTTAAAAAAAAAAAAGAAAAGAAAAGTGTAATATGGATTAAAATGAAACAGAGAACTGATTGCCATTGATGAATTTGAGTACCAGGATGTTAGGAATGAGTTGAAGATTCTTATTTTACTCTCTGAATTTTAACACTTTTTGGCTTTTAGTGCCATGGAGTATCACAATCTTAATGACAGTGGTCTACTAAAATACAGGGTTAGAATAGAATTCTTGTCTGATCTTTTCTTAAAAAACTTTATGGAGAGATCCATCATCTAATGTGTCATTGATCTCCTTAGAATCTTTACCCATTTCTTTGCAATCTTTTTGAATTATTAAATAGGATAGTTATTGAGAAGTGGTGGCTCACACCTATCTCCCAACACTTAGTCTGAGATAGGATTGCTGCAAGCTTGAGTCCATCCAGGGCTACAGTGTGAGGAGCCCCTTTCTCAAACAAACAAACAAACAAACAAACAAACAAATGATATTAAAATAAAATAAAGTCGTAATGATAGAGAATTAACTCATTAATAATATTCATAATCTTATGTTTTGATGAATCTACTGTTTAAAAAGTTAAGTTGTTAGGAAAGCCGATGAGAGGTGTGGACATGGGACAGATGTCACAGGTGTCCTAGCATGTCTTCGTCTAGGCGGACAGCGTCATCAGGGGTTTCAGAATCCACATCCTAGATAAAAGGAGGCCAAAGCTATGAGAGCAATGCCTTCTCCGTAATTATGTTGAGAAATCTGACCAAATTTCATAAGACACAAACTTGAATTCATGGTTCATATATAAATGATGAAATGGGTCCCTTTCTAGTCTGGCTAGCACATAAAAAGAGTGACCAGACACTAACAGCTCTTATAAAGAGTGGGGATCCTTTCTGTGAGTTGCAGGTCCCTTGAAGTGGTACTGGTTAGGAGTAGGTCGCTCACTCTGTCTCATGTGTGGGGTTTTCTTGTTTGGGTTATCTTATTTATCCACTGCAGAGTGGGCCATATCTGGAAGCTTTAGTGGTAGAGTTTTCTTTAATTAGCTAATGTTTTTCAGTAGTTGTATATTTACAGAACTTTTGCAATAAGATATGCAGAGAGTTCTTGTACATCTTATACTTGGTTTCTTCTTTATTAGCATTTTATGTCAGTACTGTGCATTTGTAAAAATAAAAGACACAGTACTGATAAGTTATTAAGTAAAGTGTGTACTAAAGTTGCCGGTTTTATTAAGTGTCATTATCAGCTCTGGGGTTCTATCCAGGGCATCAGATTACATTCAGTAGTCAAGGCTCCTTGGGTCCTTTGTTGTGGAAATTTTACAGACCTACTTTGGTCTTGATGACTCTGACAGTTCAGGCTTGCTGTCCTGGCATTTCACAGATGTCTCAAAGTTAATTTCTCTGATGTTTGTCCCATAGTGAGATTGTAGAATGTTTTCAGAAAGACTGTAGATACAAAGTTCCTGTCTCATCACCTCATATCAAAATTGCATATTTCAAGGCAAGGCTTGTTTGTCATGCACTTATAATCCCAGCACTTGGGGGATGGAGGCAGGAAGACTGAGTTCAGAGCTAGTATGTGCTACACAGTGAGCTCCAAGCCCACTGAGATGCATACTGAGGGCCTGGCTCAGAGGATGACAACTGCAGAGTCTGAGACCTTTCCATGTTGACCTTGGTCACCTGGCTTGAGGTGGCTTGTCAGGCTTTCCCACTGTGACGTCATGCTTCGGTCTCCATAGTGTTCAAAAGACTCTTGCTCTGTGTAACCCACACCAAGGGGGCTGAACTTCGCCTTTGAAAAGATGGATTATCTACAGAAATTTGTCAGAATTTTTCCATCAGGAAAATTTCTCTTTTCTATTTTTAAAATTCATTTCATATTCATGTGGAATCATGGTTATATATTTTATATATTAAAGCCTTTTATTTAAGAATGCGTCTTCTCTCTTCAGTCTCTGTAATATATACTGCTTACTGTATATGGCATAGGATGTCAATTAGATGCACTTACACGGCTATCCATACCGGTTTTCCTTGATTTTCTTTTTTCATTTTTAAGATGGAAACCGAGATAAACTATTAACTAGAAATGAGGATCTGGGTTCTTGTTTCTACTTAGATGTTAGTAGCTCTAGGCCTTCTCAGCCAATAAACCATGGAGACAGATGTGTGCGTACTAACTCTTGGGTGTATACGTATTTATATATGCAAGTAGTTGATCTCACATGAGAAAACACTATTGTCTGTAACCCTTACCCTGTGCTGCCTCCTGTAACCCTTCTAGCTTCTTGCTCTTGCAACAGTAAAAACCCTGGTCCTTGCTACCATATCCCCAAGCATTTACTTGTTGAATTCCAATATACATAGGCAGAAGTTTTAAATTGTTAGTGCATACCCCTAGTAGACCATGATACCTTTCGTTCTGTCTCTTCTTCATTCAGATTCGGGAAATGGAACCGCTTCTCTGCCACAGGGACAACCCCACTCAGCTCATCTGGACGTCCTCTCGCAATGCAAAGAAGTCAAACTTCAGTCTTGAGGACATCCAGCACACCAAAGGCCAGGAACCCTACAGCTCTTCCAAATACGCTACTGACCTCCTGAATGTGGCTTTGAACAGGAATTTCAACCAGAAGGCAAGGCCTGTCTCAGATGCAGAAATTAACAGTCAAGAGTTGTTGTTTCTTAGGGGAGAGATAAGTAGCACCCATCCTTTTAGGAAAATGGTGTTTATTTCCTGTTCTGCATTCTTCACGAACTCTGTTTCCCTTCTATAGAAAGACTCCAGTACAGGCACTAAGGACTTCTAATGCTGTGCTCTTCAGTCTGTGTATGTCATTTAATGTCCCCCCCCACCCCCTGCAGCCAGGTGGCTCTCACTATTCCAGTTCTCAGATGAGAACACTCACATTTTGAAAAATTGAGTCAGAAACTCAAAGGTCCCATGAGTCTTAGACTGCAGACTGAGCCTGATCCCAGCCTCCGTCATGCTGATGACTAAAAGGCAGTCAGTAGTTACATACCTTGTGGAAGGTGGTGATGAGGCTCTTGTTTCTGTGAGCTTACAGATCGAGAGGGTGTTTATATCAGTGAGAAGATGCCCCTTGTCAGTCATGCTGGCTCCTGCTGACCTCAGTCACCTGGAGTCACTGCCCCTTTGAGTGAACCGATTGCCCAGGGCCAGAATCTTAACTGGAATTCTTGGCTTTCCCATTGGCATTTTCTGGCTGTCATTACAGCTTAGAGTCAGAATGTTGGTCCATCCATGAGTTTCCTGCTGACATCTTGAGATCTTTAGAATTTGTCACAGCTGCTTCTAAGTCCTCTCAGCATTCCTTTCAGAGGGCAGGGTCAAGCTGAGTTAGTTCCATGCTTCATAAAAAGCTCTGGGATTTTTATTTTTGTTTTTTTTTTTTTACATTTTAGTTGTCAAGTGAAATGTAGGATTTGTTTTCAGCTCATGATTCTTCTTTCCCAGTGTTCCAGGAAAGAAAACCTTAGAATTACATTGGGGGAATTCCATTTTGAAGCCTTCGCGATGAATTTTTCCAAAGTGTTGGTTTACTTTTTTAACAAAGTATTATTATTTTACTATTTTTGGTGCTGGAGATCAAGGCCTGGGCTTTGTACTGCTGCAGTACCACTTGAGCTGGAGCCTCAGTTCTTGTTAACGTTTGCATCCTGATCTCTGTAAGTGATTTTAGACTTAAGTGGTCCTACTAAGCAGCAAGGACAACTGAGAATCCAAACTTGCCATTCCCTGGATTTCTGGCTCATATATGTGTGCCTTTTATTACCAAGCATCCCTGAACTAAGTCAATTTGCATCAAATTAAAATTGTACTGTGACTCTCCTCTGTGCCCCCAGGGTCTGTATTCCAGTGTGATGTGCCCAGGTGTCGTATTGACCAATCTGACGTACGGAATTCTGCCTCCCTTTATCTGGACGTTGCTTCTACCGCTGATATGGCTAGTAAGTGGCAAACATTTTTTTTTTTAAATATGGAGTCACGAAATTGAAGAATTCAACTTGTGACAGGCAGCCATTTGACTTAAGGTTTTTGATGTGCTATAATCATAAATGCAAATTTTCTTTCTTAAGTTGAAATCTGTTGTTGTTGTCGTTGCTGCTCTAAACGGCCAGATAATACTGTTGTTTTCTTTCCATCAGATTCGATTTTTTGCACATGGGTTCACTCTGACACCGTACAATGGAGCAGAGGCAATGGTATGTTACTAGGATTTCATTGCCTGTATAGTGGCATTGTGATAGAACGGTAAGCTCACTCATGGCAGTGAACAGTGTCAGGGGAAAAGACTGTAAGATAGCAGTTCTCAACCTGTGGGTTTCGACTCCTTTGGCAAAACAAAACAAAACAAAACAAAAAAACAAAACAAAAAAACCCGACCCTTTCACAGTGGGTCACCTAGACCACTAGAGAATACAGATTTACATTGCAATTCATAATTACAGCAAAATTACGCTTATATAACAAAGAAATAATTTTATGGTTGGAGGTCACCACAACAGGAGGGACTCAAAGGGTCTCAGCGCTAAGAAGATTGAGAACCATGGCTGTAATGGAACACACTCCATGGATAAGCAATTTCCATTTGAGACTACAGTAGTTACACACACCATGTTAGAAGCTTGGCATTTAGCACCTGCTGGGACGCTGGCCGCTATGACTATAGAGAACACACCTCTGTAGAAGCAAGGTACACCAGGAGCTTCAGGAGAAGGGGCAGGACACTCCAGAGTCAGTCAAAGCAAGTGATGGCCAGTGAATGCCTTCCGACAGGATAGGGACAAGAGTAGGGGCAACCAGACCTGTTGTCTGATGTAAAGGATTTTCTTCCCGGAGCCAGACAGCTGGCTCACCTGTTCTTGTAGATGACACAGTTTGATTCTCAGCCCTGCATGGCAGCTCACAGCTGTCCATAACTCCAGTTTCAGGAGATCGAACACTCCTGGCGTCCACAGGTACCTGGAATGCATGTGGTACAGTGACCTACATGCGAGCAAAGCACTTGCATGCATAAAATAAATCAAAAGAAAAAACTCTAAAGATTCTTCTTCCTCTCTTGGTGTTAGAGGATCAAGCTGCCTTATTAGGAAACCAGGATTTCCTTGACAGTTGGGCTGCATGTGTTTCCTCAGCTGTGGCAGGCATTACTTGGGAGCTGTACCTCTGTTTTCTTCTGTCCACTAGTAATGCCTTCGCATATTTCTCAACTCAGCCCCAAAGCTCTGCTGATGGATCAGAATTCTCATACAAGAAGAGAGCTGCCATCGGATTGGAATCCTGTTGTCTTAGTTTTGAAGGGTGTGCTCAATACAGTGAGACAGGACTTTTATCCTAGAAACTTGAGAGCTAGTACTGTGGTGTCCAGGCCTGGCTATTTTTTAAATCCTGATCAAACTGAGTTTAGGGGAAGCATGAAGGGAATGAAATAGTTTCTGTGAGGACACAGATTGATTGTGGACAGGTGCTGTTAGACTGTTGGTACAGTTGCCACGATGTAAGAATCATTACTGTGGTGCTTTAGAGATTCCTCGTTCTGCACATCTGATGTGTGAAAGGCTTGTCTAGGTGTCAGGTGTATATTGATAATCAATGGTATGGGGTGTATTTAGAAGATGAAAATCCTGTTACTAAATAGCCTAGAGGTCTGTTTGGGAAAGTAACAAATCCATAAAATAAGTAAGGAAACAAGACATCTTGTCATTAGGTAGGGAATGAACAGTGGGGAGCTAGGACCCGTTGGGGCTGGAGTAGTTAGAGCTGACTTCGATGAGAGGGAACTAAATCTAGACTCTGAGGAACCAGGTGATTTGGATAGGGTGAGCACCACGATCCTAGTGTCCCAGTTTAAAAACTTCCTCAGGAAGGGCTAGAGAAACGGCTCAGGGGTTAACAGTGCTTGCCGCCCTTGTTGAGAATTAGGCTCAGTTCCCAGCACCCACATGGCAGCTCACAGCTATCTGTAGCTCTGCCTCCAAGGGCTCTAATGCCTTTTTAAGGCGTATACATTCATGCAGGCAAATCACCCATAGAACAAAAGTAAAAGTTAAAACAAACCCATTGGGACCTTGCTGTAATTTTCTAAGTGTACATGCATAAAAGGCCCAAACTGCAGACATCTGACCCACCTACTTCTGGAGAGGCCGATAGGATGATGAAGGATGGTAGCTCACTACACGAGCACCCAGGATCTCTTTCAATTCCTGTGTAAGTTTTGTCTCCTCAGGGGAGCATGTGCTTGAGCGAAGGCATAGGCCAACCATGAGGATGCCGGAATTATGTTAACTCTTCACACCTAAGCTCTCCAGTTCCCGGCTTGGAACCCTTGAGCACTGTTCAGAGCATCTAGGCCTTTATCATATGTAAAATAAGAATGAGAGCTGTGAGTGGGGGCAGGGCGTGGCGGGGGACTCAGTAGTAATGATTGATGACTCAGAAAAAATGACTTTAATCACAATGAATACAACGTGACAGCTCAATGAAGCAGAATAGAAAGTTTAGAAGAATCTGAGATTTAGTTCATGATAATGACCAGAAATAGAGGGAAAAGATGGGCTTTTCAAGCAAGGTTGTTGCCAAAAGGGCAGATATAATCTTTATGTCCTGCTTTTCACTGAAATAATGTTATAGATAATTGAAGAGGTCTATATGTCAAAATTAAAATATAAAAGTATTAGAAGAAAATACAGAGGAATTATATGAAGTTTTGGAATGTGAAGGCTTGCTTGTCAGAATGTGGACTCTCCAAGACTTAGAGTGAAAATTAAAGTTAGCACGATCCCAAAGTCCACTATAAATAAGGCACAAAGTAGAATATAAACATCTGTCTTACACAAAAGGTAAATATGTTCTTAGTAAATCAAGAACTCCAGCAAATGGGAAAACAGCATTTGTTGGAATCACAGGCAAAAGACATAGTCACAAAGATTCTGAATGGGTTCAGCCATGTGTAAAGACACTTGGCCTCACTGATGCTAATAGGAGTGTAAACTAAATTTCTATTTCAGAGCTCAGCTCAGATTAGCAGAGACTTGGACGTTTGGTGCAGGGCTGTGATGGCTCGTGATACGGAATTGAGACCGAGCCTGCCTTACACAGCCTCTGTGGGGGACTTGATGGCTGGTAGAGTCACGTGTTAAAGTCACGTGTTAAAGGCACATAACCTTCACTGCCAAGTTCTGTTTTTGGCATCACTTTTATAGATGGAGTTAGGCTCTTGTGAAATGTTGTACTCACTATCCCTGATGGTTTAGTTTGTAATCACAAAGACTGCAGTCTACTGCATACATTTTTTTTTTCATTAAAAGCTAAACATACCAGTTACAGCTCATGGCCTGTACTTTCAAAACCAAACGAAACAGCTCAGTATACACAGGTTTGAAAAACTGAAGATATGATAGATATTAAAGTGAAAACTTCCATGTGTCATGCATACTTCCATTTAAGAGAGAAGGAAGGTTATGTGTTACTAAATGAAGAACAATTTCTTTGCCTGACCACATGATAGAACAGTAGGTTACTCCCAGAGATGGGAGATAAGTGGCTACAAAACTGCAAAGGGAGGAAGACTTCCTTTTTATATCATGTACATACATCTTTTGGTCACATACATCTTCTCACTGGTAAAATCTTATCCTAGTGAGCTGTGCTTTACTGTGGTGTGTTAGAATGACATTAACTAAGCCGATGAGTGAGACATGGATTTTGCTTAGATTTGCTCTCTGTGGAGCAGACTGACTCAGAGTATCTCTTCAAAATATGGTAGCAGTTTCCAAAGGCATTAGATTAGCTAGTGCTTTTTGAGAGGAATCTTTCGACGTTATTGGGGAGCTCTGTAGAGTACTGATGGCAAATCTCATTTGCTTAGGGCAGGAGCGACACCACTGATGTCACTGACATGTTCTTCCTTTCCAGGTGTGGCTTTTCCACCAAAAACCAGAATCTCTCAATCCTCTGACCAAATACCTGAGTGCCACCACAGGATTCGGGACTAATTATGTCAATAGCCAAAAGGTAAATCTGTTGACGTCATCACATGAGAGATGTGGCCAGGCTGATGTGCTAGCCTCTGATGCTCACAAACCCAGTTGTGTGGCTTCTGTGCCCAAGTCTTCAACTCTGGCATTATCATGGTCCATGTCATTGCTTTCTGCTTTCTCCTGACTCAGAGCTCTCGGGCATCTTCTTTCTGCTAAGCCTCTCTCACCTGTGTTCTTGTTAATGTCTGTCACCCGTCAGAACTCAGCTTCTTCCCAGCCTTCTCTGTCTCTTTAGACTAGGCCCTGTGGCCTGTGGTGGGATTTCTTATACCCATTCTGTGAAACACTCGCCCTCCGGTGTCCCTATCAGCATATAAGCTTTGCAGGGAGGGTACATACCTGTTTCCTTCATATACTGTCTCACGTGGAGACTTTTAATAAATTATCATGAGTCATTTGGAATACAGAATACTTCTATGTGAAGTTAACTTCTCTCTGAATGTGCGTTCTGTTTGAGATAATTGTCAGCTTTGTCAGACAGCTATTCTGAAGAGGCAGGGAACAGAATAGAGAAAATTAAATCGGTATTGAGTCTTTTGGTGTCTCATCTAAAACGAAATCAAATAGAATTGCACAGAGGTGGGGTAGAGAGCTAAGAACATGTACTTGGGACTATAAGAACATGCTGTAGCTTTGTCATGAGCAAGGTTTATTGTAGCATCCTGTTTTTCTCTGCCCAGCTTATTGAGGATGCATTGATATCAAATGGAACTAGATTGGGGCGAGCATTTGGCAGCAGGGTGAGTCCAGTGACTGCCAGCCATGTGGATCGCTTCCTATGCCACCTGCTGCTAAAAACCAGCCTTTCCTAGTTTTTGAAATCTGTTGTACTGGTTACTCGTGACTTACGGCTCCTCAGGCAGGTAGAGTTGTGTGGTGTTTCATGGCTGTCTGCACCATGGCTGGCTCACCACAGTGTATTAACCCAGGAATGGCTTTGAGAAATTGAAGCAGTTAAACAGAAATGACATGGTTGATCTGGGCCTTTACAAATTGTCCTTTACTGCATGAATGGTTTTTAAGACAGGGTCTCACCAAGACATTGTGGCTGGCCTGGAACTCTGTCTTAGTGAGGAAGGTTTCTGTTGCCGTGGTAAAACACCACGAGAGAAGCAGCTTTGGGTGGAAAGGGCTTATTTCATCTTACACTTCACATCACAGAAGTCAGTGAGGGAAGTTAGGGCTGGAGCTCAAGGTGGGGACTGGGAGTCGGGAACTGAAGGAGAGGCTGTGATGGAGTGCTGTGTATCAGCTCCCTCATGGTGGCTGGGTCACTTACTTCCATCTAGATAGCACCAGGACCGTCATCCCAGGAATGGTGCTGCCCACCGTGAGCTGAGTCCTCCCCCATCACTCACCAACCAAGAAAATGAGCCACAGGCTTGCATTCTCCTCAGTTCATGTTACCTCTTCCAAAATGACAGTTGTGTCAAGATGACATGAAATTAGCCAGCACAGACTGCTTATATTCCAGATTTGCCTACAGAGGCAGATCACAGAGATCTGCCTGCCTCTGCCTCCTGAGTACTGGGATTGAAGATACCGCACTACCATGCATATCTATTTTTTTAAACTCAAGTTTGTATTAACTTATAATTCTTAATATACAAAATGATACATTTTAGAAAACTCTGATGCAACTTAATAAGCTCATTTTGGAACTTTTAGTGTTTATTTAAACTTAATGTTATAACCTTACAGGGAACAATTTACTTATCAAGGGAAGAAAATGTTTAATTCCACAAACCCAAGTATTTCATTAATGTTCAATGAGTGACATTGAAGAGAATGATTTTCCTTTGATTCATTTGGGGAAATCAACCTTGCCCTCTGTTAAAGGGTCAGAGGAGCTAGTGGCTGCTGATAGATCTAGGGGTTAGGTCATTGTCTTCAGTTGTGTATCCATTGCTGAGCCCATCATGCGGCAGTGGACGGCCACACCCATGCATGTGTGGAACACCCTTGTTAAACTCAGTGTGCCACAACACAAACCAAAATGATAAGAAAGTGGGGTGGGCGGGAGGAGTAGGTGGGGGATAAGAGAGGTAGAGGGGGGTGAGGATGAATATAACCAGATTTGTCATGGAACACATGTAAATAAAGGTGAGCTTGAACAGGCCAGATCTGTAATGTTTGCAATTTCAATCCAAATAACAAAAAGGGTCAAATGAGGATAAATGTTATTTCCAAAATGCTGAAAGGTTTCCTTAGTCCCTAGCCTTCAAGAAGAGCCAGTTTTTGAGGTGTAGGCTCTTGGTTGACTAGGAAGCAAAGAGATCCTGTTTGTGGGAGCGGAAAGGTGGTTCTTGTGTTCAGTTAAAGTAAGATTTTCTGCAAGAAGAACGAGAACACAAAATAATAGTGATGTAAGACAGAATCTCCAATTTTTTGCACATAGAAGCACGTTGGAAGCGGGTGAGCATCAACAGGAACTCAGATGTCGTTCCCCCAACTCCCCGTTTCTCTCAGCAGTTGGTTGGGTAAAATGAGCCAGAATAGGAAATAACACTCGCATTGTGTATCTCTTTGTGTAGAGCAAGCAGCGGGAGGTTTGACGGGTGCCAGTTTGCATGAGCGTTTATGTCCTCGGGTTCTCGGATGTTTCCCTGCAGCCTCAGCATGGCGCCTTCCTAGCATCCAGTTTTCTCAGATGCGTGGACGCCTCCCTTTGCTTGCGTGCAGCGTTTTATTTTTCTTTTGCAGTCATCTCTATTTGTGTTTCCTTTCCAGATGGACGTAGATGAAGACACTGCTGAAAAGTTCTACGAGAGTTTACTGGAGCTGGAAAAGCACGTCAGGATCACCATTCAGAAATCAGATCACCCGAGCTGATGGCGACGTCTAGCAAGCATCCCGGGCGTACTTTCTGTACGGTCTGGTGCACGTGACTTTCCATCGTGCTGGGTGATACATGTTTGTAGCAAACCATGAGTCAAGATGACCTCTCCTCCTAAATGACCTCCAAGACTGTGTGTGCACATGTGTGCAAAGTGTGCACACACATTTGAGAAAGTAGTGGCACAGTAGAGGGACCAACTAAATACCCTCCAGAATAGTGTCCTGTTGGAACTGCTAGAGGCTTTCTGCAGAACATCCTTGGAGCCCAGTAGTTTACACTCTCATAATGGGGACACTGTACAGCCTGAACCTTCTTTTAGTCCCAGCAAGGAGAGGCAGTGCCACTGGGTAGGATTTTTACCTCTTTTTCTTTTCTCCGTGATCCTCTTTTTTCCTCTCTTTACGTGCTCCTTCATATGCTGCTTTGGATAAGCTTATTCATTGTCCGACCACGTGACTCCCACGTAACTGCCCACACAGTCATTTTTAAGAGGAAAGCGTGAATGTTTTTGGGCCATGAGCATTATTTCTGGTCTTTAATAACATCTGCAGATTATTCATCATGAACAGCTCGTTGTCCTGATCATATTCACTGGAATTAAACTTACAGCAAAAAAAAAAAAAATTATTTAGTCATGTTTCAATAAAATTAAAAAACAAAAGTAGAAAAACCGCTAGGATGCCATGAGGTACCCAGCGGAAACAGAAGAGGAGAGTTCATTTTTATGTGTCAGATGATGAGTTTTTCAAACCTTTACTCCATCAATCTTAACGAGCCTCACCTGAGCATCCTTTGTTATGAATCAAAATGCTAGAGATGGCTAGACAGTTTTATCATAAAGGCATCCCATCATCCTATCACTCAGGATATAATCAAGTCAGTAAAATTCTGAACAAAAGTGAGAGAAAAGTGATACATAAATATAATCTCCTGACAGCTTGTGGTATGAAAACTTTCTGGTTAGAGTTTCTAATTTTCTTGACCAAGATTTTTTTTTTTTTAAAGATACGGGTGAGAATGAGTCCACACCCACGGCCCCTCCTCTGTCTCTGGGAAACAAGGGGCGGTTCTTTATTCTTCATCCTGAGTGAACTCCCATTTGGAAAAGACTCCTTGGGGAACTCATGTTTTTCATCTGCAAAGCAAAGCCATCCTCTCTGTTCTGTTCCTCACAGGGTTGTTTGAGGATCCGTGCTCTGAGTGAGCCATGAGAATTCCTCATTTTGGTAGAGAATGATGAGGTTCCTTAGAGGTCAGTAAGCCAGCATGCAGAGGCCCAGACACTGCAGGCCACCACCCTTCTGATGGATGGCCCATTCTGGTCCATGTGTTTCCCAGGAGAGAGCACAGAGCTCTGTAGGATGGTGTGGGGAAGGTTAGGAGCCCTGCAGCAGGGTAGTTAGTCATAATCTTAACTTGCCTTGAGAATGAATTGAGAGAAAGCTTGGGTTTTGCTTATTTGTGAGTTTGTAGAAAACATGTCCTTTTCTGGGGTTGTCAACTTATAAACATCAAGTTATTCATAGAATTTTTAAATTATGTTTTTGCTGGCTACATCAGGAATTCCCTCCATTTTATTCCTGATACTGATGTCTTCCCATTGTCAGTAATGGAGGAGTTTTCCCCGTTTTGCTGGCGTTTGCAGAGAACCATGTTTCTGCCTCACTGGGTTTTTTCTCTCCCTAGTTACTTATATAATATTCATGCAGATTTTTTAGCTCTGCTTGTTTTAATTGTCTTCTTTTTGTTTTCTTTGGTTTAAGGTAAACCTTTTCTAGTTCCTTGAGTTAAAACTTAGGTTCCTTATTTGGAAATTTTTTTTTGATTGCTACTGTAAGCATTTAATTATAAGCATTTAATTATGTAGATGCCATTCTCAGCCAGCCCACATTTGCTGAAATATTGTCCTGCATTATTTTCTTTCTTTCAATCATAGACTGTTTTATTAATTTCTGTTGAGATTTTCTTTTATGAATTATTAAGTGGTATTTAATGTTCACATCTTTAGAGATTTAAAAGATTGATATTTGGCTGGGGAGATGGTTGAGAGCACTGGCTGCTTCTTCAGAGGACCTAGGTTCAATTCCTAGCACCATATGGTGGCTCGCAAGATCTCTAACTCCAGTCCTAGGGGATCTGATGCCATCTTCTGGCCTCTGTGGGTACCACATGTGCATATGATGCACAGGCATCTGTGCAGACAAAACACCCATACACATAAGAATAAATAATTCTTTTAAAAGTTGATACTGGTTTCTAGGTGTAGTCTGTTGGGATATCCTAGTTTTATGTTAATATAATCAGGATATATTCTTATTTCTGTATTACATTTTTTGACTTTTATTTATGGTCCAGGATCTGTTCTGCTTGAATGAGTATTCTGTGGCTTTCTCGTCACACCATGCCAGCTTGTATTTTCTCCTTGGAACACTCTGGGTTGTTCTCTTTGTATTTTTGTGGAGTTCACAGTTACTCTTCAGGCAGGTGTTGTACAGGAGACCCCACCGCTCTGTTGAAAACAGTATTTGTCAGCTGCACACTGTCTTCATTTCGGATGCAGTTTTATTCTTCCGTTTCTTTCCTGTGCTCAGTTTTTCTTGTTCTGTGACCATTTCTGGTTTTGGTTTTGAAATTTTGATTCATTTTATTCTTAATTTATTTTTATGTATTTACTTTGCATGCTTGGGCATATTGAATCCAGGGCCTTGGGGCTCATCTTCCCCCTGTAGTTGATTCCCTCGGCAGGAACGCTGTGTGTTGTACTTGTCAACTAAAGCTTTCGTTTGGTTGGTTTGGTTTTTCCAATTTTGTTTTCTTCAGTCTTCAATAAGGTGTTTGATAGCTACTGAATCTATAATTTCTCCATGTCCCTCAGGTTTTATCATCCTTATCTACCTTGTAAAAACAAAATGAAATACTTATTTGAGGGCTAAAGGGATGGTTCAGCACTTAAGAGCTCCATCTGCTCTTACAGAGGACCTAGTTCACTTCCCAGCACCCACATCTTGGCTCACAATCATCTGTAACTCTAGTTCCAGGGCCCCCAGTGTTCTCTTCTGGCCAGTGGGCACCAGGCCCACGAGTGGTGCACAGACCTATGTTCACACCCATATACACAAGTAAAAATTAATCTTAAAAAAGCCTATACTAAAACCCATTAATTGGAGGGGGCGAGTAAAGTAAAGTTGTGATAAAGCTAAAATCTGTGTATATCACCAGATACTTGCCTCCTCGCCCTGAATGCTTCCTGGTAAGCATTAGAAGAAGGGCTGCTGAGCCCCCACCCCCAACCCTGTCGTTCCTTTTCCTGCTCTGCTCCAAGCTAACCCAGAGTGCATACCTCCCTCTCTCCTGTAGGATCCTAGCCACATTTGAAGCTGCCCTCTCAGAAACATATACCAGCATTGAATAACTTTTATTTTCCTTGTATTGATAGAGGGTGCTTTAAAAAAAATTACCTATTTTTGGTGTCAAGCTGTGTGTTTATGTCTCTTACATTTTGTGTTTGATTTTCCATCTTTGGTAATAAGAGATATATGTTATCTATATAATAAAGAATGAAGCTCTTGCCTAAAACTCATTTATTTATCTAACATTCGTACTCATTTCTCTTGTTTATTGTCCTTTAATATTCCAAAGGATCAGCGCCAAGACGTTTTATTGTTGTTTCTTGTTACGTTTCTAGTGTTTGATCAATGGATGTCATTTCCTAGGCTCTTGATGAATATATGAACAGTTGATTGAACAAGTATTTATTTGAATAAATTATCATGCTATCTTGGTCTTAGACTCAGTTGATTTTTATTATGCCACATTTTTAAAAAGCTACACTGTATCTTAATTTGGCATAATTCTCAGAATACCAAGCTTGAGTTTACTGAGACTGTCATTATTTTCTGATCTTAGAGTATTATGTTATACTAGCAAATATACTTCCTTCTCACAACATTATTGCCTATATTTGTAAGTTAACTCTTGAAGAATAAATTGACAGCATCTATCACAAGTTAAAAGTACATGTGCCCTTAGCAATTCAGCGTTTCTAAATTTACCCTAAAGATAGAACTTGAATACATACACAGTGTCAGGGTTACTGTCACCTGTTAGAAACTCTTGGTGCTAAATATGCTTTGAAAATTAAAATTGCTTGTTCTTTGGAAAGTTAAGTTGGTGCACACAATACAGTATGTTTTGTAACAGCTCTAGAGGGAGTTGGGGTAGCAGCCTATAATCAAAGCCAGTTGTATGTCAGCGAAAAAGATACATGAATTCACATTAAAGCAGGATAAAAACTATAAATAACCTCTCACCAGCTCACGTAGGGTTTAGCTGCCAAGGAGTATGCTAAACATTTTAAAAAGATGTTCGGTTTTCTAAGCTGTTTGGACTTGGAAATTGCAGGTAAGGGATTTTAGACCAACATAACAGTGTTCACTGTAGCATCTTCCAGCAACAGCAGGAGAATACAAAGAATGTAAGCATGTTTAACTAGTCTTTAGGGTATGGGACAAAGGATGATGGCATTTCCATAAACTACACTAAAGGTAGTAGTATTAGAAAATAACTATTTAAAAAGAGAGGAGGTAGTTCTGTATGGATTGTGGGTTAAATGAATACAACCAGATGCTTTAGAAGGCAGGGAGGTCTTCATGTGCTCACAGACCAGCACCAGGGCAGTGGGTCTCAACCTTCCAAACCTTTCCACTCTTTACTACACAGCCTTATTGGAATGACCCCAACTATAAATTTATTTTTGTTGTTGCTTCAAAGCTGTAATTTTGATACCGTTAGGAACTGTCATGTAAATACCTGGTATGCAGATGTCTTAAGGGGACCCATATGAAAGGGTCATTCAGCCCCAAAGAGGTCATGACCCACAGGTTGAGAACCACTGCACTAGAGGACCCTGGAATGTTGAGCACACAGGGTGGTTTCTTCACAGGGAGGGGTGCGTAACTTCCCAGTGGACCTGCTGAGTGGCCTGGTGACACTCACACTGCCTGTGTGGTGGAGACTACACTGGTTTATCCTCTGGACCCTTATTTTTTTTTCTCCTCACTTCATCTATGGAACTTGTCTTTATGGAAGGTGTCACACGTACTTTATAAAGAGTTTTGATGAAGTCACGTCTGATCTTTATTTAGCTTATTTTGTTTCTCGGGGAGATTTACATGGGGTTGGGTTAATTATGACCAGGAAATATATGCCTAAAACGAACGACCCAGGGTCAGAAAAACAACAACAGGAACCATGGGAGACTGTTTGCATAGCTACCTGCTCAGTGTAAAGGCAGAAAAAGCAAAGGAGATGAAATTGGAAATTGAGTAACTGATGACCGCCTCCAGATTTTTATATTCAGAGTGAAGAGGGGGACCAAACGGAGATAATTTAAAATCTAGCCTACCGAAATAGATGGATAGAGAGACAGATTGACAACTCCAAAAACATATCCACATATGATACCAGACCTGTGTAAGAGGTTAAATGGTGGTGGGCTTATGGAACATGTCAGGATAATGTGTGGCACGTTCCTGTGGTCCCTTTCAGCCAGCAGAGGTCAAGGTCACCCTTACTCTGTGGCTTCTGGGTCAGGTAGTCTTCAGGTGCTTGCAGGGCTAGACCCTGACTACTTACTACCTCGAGGTACCTCAGAGGGATGGCTGAGCTGTGGTTAAGGGCTTGGGGTCAGTTGTCTATGGATTCTTACTTGAGAAACTGCTGCTTGTGTTTGAGGCTGAGTAGTTGGTTTTCGTGTGCACCATGCTCACTGGGGTGACTAAGGGAAGAGTGGAGGATCCACGAAGCTGAACTCCTTCCCCACCACATCCACCTTGGGACAACTCAAAATTCTATCCGGTGTATCTCCAGACTTAAGTCCTAGTAATGCTGCCCGGGGATGCCCTCTACAGCATCCAAGCTGTCCCCTTACTGCAATGACACCATTGCTGCTCCCTTGGGAATTTGTGTGAGTTGATCCAACCCTAGTTCTCTAAGGGTCTGTTCTGTAAAGAGCTTATAGGATGAGCGGGCTACACACTTCATGCAATACTAACCTTACACCTCAAGTCTATAAAAGCTGCAAACCATGGATCTTTATAGCAGTTATTTAAATGCAAACTTCAGGCTCTGCTTGTTACAATTACAAAAAACCCATGTGGGGATGACTTAGCAGTAACCAGAGAGTAGGTCTAATTAGAGAGAAGAGAGTAGGTCATAAAGGAGTTGTAAAGGGAGGGAAGAAGGAAAACCTTGGGTTTTCAGCATAGCTGGCATTTGGGGCTTCCTGTCTACTTCCTAGAGAGGCAGTTTAACATACACAAAACACACAGAAGCAATAATATATGGTGAGTAAGGTTCTTTGCTCTATTTGGAGGAAGATTCTTCTAAGCCCATTTTCTGTCAGAAAGTAGCAAACGAGGTATTCCATCTGGTACATTTATAGTCTACAATGTTACCTTTGCCACCGGAACTCCCTTCATTTCTCCTAAGCCCATTCAGAAAAGTTTAAATTTCTTTCTTCTTCTATGATGGTGCCGGTGGTGGCCCACGACCATACCTAGCTCCATCCAACGACATGTGGAAGATGCAAGCTGTCCCAAGCACAGAACTTACCGTCTGGCCTGCTCCACATCTAGACTTTTGTGGGACTGTAATGGCCCAGGGTTACGGAGAAAGGATTGAGGAAGCTTCAACAGTAGACACCTCAGTTATGAGGATGGCTTCCCCATTCCAAACCTAGGACCAGAAAATACCCTCCTCCCACACCCCCACACCCCAACCCCAGCAATCAACAATTTATTACCCTGATGGTTATCAGGCTTCAATCCTTGTTTGCACATCACCACTACCCTACAGGCCCTGAGTATGTAGATGAAGCATCTTTGAACACCCCTGCCCTGGCCAATAGTACACAGCCACACAAACCTTGCCCCAGAGGCCCCGGCATAAATACCCTCTTTCTCCTAGTAAACTGAGCTCACACTCATGTTCGACTGAAAACCTGCACTGCCCCCACCCCTGCCCCACTAAGCCTCCTTCCCTCCACCTCAGCTTGGTGCGGAACTGGCTTGGCTATTGTGAGCAGAGGAAGTGGACCTGGGGCAGCAGACCTCTTGATGCTTGGATGGAATTCATCCCAACCAGGCTAAAGTTGCTGTGTTTGCTTTTCACCTCACTAATGTGGTCTGAAAAAAAAAAAACTGAAGCCTGCCTAAACCTACATCAGGAGATTCACCCTTTGTCCCAGGCTGATCTTAGACAGAGTCAACCTTAACAGGCCCAGGAACTGGAATTCAGCCTACCATGAGATGAGGCCCAATCCGTGTATATGTAGATGCTGGATAGTTTTACATCAATTGGACACAAACAAAAGTCATTTGAGTGGAGAGAACCTCAGTTGGAAAAGCGCCTCCATAAGGTCCGGCTGTGGGCAAGCCTATAGGGCATTTTCTTAATTGATGACTAATGAGGGGAGCCCTGTCCATTGTACTGAGGGCACCCCTGGGCTGGTGCTCCTGGGTTCTATAAGAAAACAGACTGACCAAACCATGGGGAGCAAGCCAGTAAGCAGCATTCATGGCCTCTGCTTCAGCAGCAGCCTCCAGGTTCCTATCCTGCCTGAGTCCCTGTTCTAACTTCCTGAGATGAGGAACAGTGATATGGACAAAAGAGCTGAATAAACCCTCTCCTCCTTAAGGTTCTGGTGCTTTATCACAGCAACAGAGATCCTGACTAAGACAACATGCCTCTCAGTTTTCCCTTTTTAACTTCTCATTTGCATGTGGAAGTTTTCTGCTGGTAGTCTTACTCCTGGCTGAGTCTGCTGGCTTCTGTGTCATTCCCATATATCTTATCCTACTGGTGGTTTTCTAAGAATGCTCCTTCATGTATGTATTGTTCTGGGGCCAGGGGCTGGCATGGCTCTCAGAAGGAACAGTGTGACATGATTTCCTGCCGTTGGAGCAGAGCCAGCAGGATGTGGGCCTCCATGAGTGTTGACAGTTGTTGGGGCATAAAGCTTGTTAGTATAATGTTCTATCTTCAAGGAATGTTCTCCCTGTTAGCCTTAATGACTCCATGATAATCAGAGCAGCACAAGTCCAGAATGCAAAGATGTGGTTAATATCTTAGCAAAATGGTAAATGCTGAGACCTTCAGGACAGTTTTTAAGGCTGTGGAAAACAATTATAAAATCACGAGAGTTCAAAATATATAACCTCAAATATGCAAAAAAGGATGAATTATGTGTGGGGCTTCACAGATCTGGAGTAGCAGAGGCAGCTGCATTAATGAGCCAGCTTGTCAGAAAGATCAAAGGCAGGTAGATTCCTGAGTTCAAGGTCAGCTTGGGACACAGGGAGTCCAGACCCAGGTGTGGTGGAAATGGAAATTTCGGGTTAGGATCCCATCCAGCTAGCTTATTGTCTGTGCTTAATGGCGGCAGACAGATCTCTGAATTTCTTTGCAATAAAAAAAAAAGTATTCTTGCTGTCTCCTAAGAATCAAGGGGCTGGGGGTGGGGTCTCGTAAGATGCTGATTCATAGGATAATCAGAAATTAGGGTAAATGCCTGGATTGACATGTAAAATAAAAGACCGGGCTTATGGTCTGCAAGAGATGAGCTATCCACGGAATTTTTTAGACTAACAAGAGAGAACTGCTTGGAGAACTGTCTTGATCAATATACATACATACATACATACATACATACATACATACATACATACATATATAGAATAGCAAAAGAGAGCAGAACATAGAACAATCTGGAAAGCTATCTTGA